GAACCAACGAACGACTAATGATGAAAAATGGCGAATTAATAACAATTTTAACAGTAAACAATTTTAAAAATAATATCGTTGTTCGAACAAGTACCTTCTTTTATTTCATAAGCTTTTCTGTTTCTTGGTTTACTGATTCACCATGACATTTATTTTTCTTAAAATATTTTTTGATTTGTGAAATTTGGTAATTGAAGTTTATATCTTCAATTTTTAAGTTTTCTTTTATTCTTTTTTAAGTTTTTTTTTTTTGCTTCAGAGAATTGTAAAAGCGAGAACATTTCACGTGAAGAATTTGCTCTCATTGCAACAGCAGCTGAACAATAGTTGCAGAGTATAAGATCAAATGATTGATATCTCATGGGAACCAATTGGAATGACTGTGCGTGGCGACTCCAAACTTCATGAAGCAATGTGCGTTTTACTCCACCTGGAATGTTATTAGTAAAAATGTTTAAAATAATTTTATCAAATTTATTTCTCGTTCTTTTCATTATATTTTTTTTGTCGTAAACATGTATAAAAACTTCAAGTCTAAATCTACAGTCTTGCTCTCTCTAGGGATACAGTTAGTTTAAAAACCTAATGCGTTCATAATGTGTTAAAAAATTTAAACAAACATGTATGCTTTCGAAAGCTTTAACTCGTTTTAAACGCATAAAAATTTTTAACTGTTTGTCGGACGAGGTATTCGTAATTAGACACAAATATTACTTAGCAGGAAAATTTGAAATGACCCCCTTGATTTTGAAGCATCTCTATGGACCTGACAAAGAGTTTATTGGTTTTTGTTGTTTCTTTTTAGATATGAAAATTAATATCATCGGCTCTGGTTTTGCCGGATTGTCAGCGGCTTTATTTCTTTCTCGTCATCCATTGAACTGCATTACTCTATATGATAAATTCACTAATGTTCAAACTGTTGGAGCAGGTATCTTAATGCAACCATCAGCAATGGTAATATTGAAAAAACTAGATATCTATGAACCACTTGTAAGAAATGGTGAAAAAATTTATAATCTACGAGGAACAAACCACCATGGTCGAGAAGTATTTTTAACATCTTATGATGATTATGCAATTGGATGTTTTGGCATTGGAATACATCGTTCTTTACTATTTAAATCCCTTTATAATAAATGTAAAGTGAAATCCAACATCAAATTTGAATTAGGACAAGAGATTACATCTCTAGCAGATTTAAAAGCAACTAGCGATCTATTAATTGTAGCAAATGGTTCACATTCTTGTCTTAGAGAACAAGTACCAATTAAACAATCGTATCAGTTATATCCTTATGGTTGTTTGTGGACAACCGTTGAAGATGATCAGATTACTCCAAATCAATTATGTCAATACATGAGATATTCACAAGAAATGTTTGGTATTCTTCCATCTGGCATAAATGAAAACAATAAACGAATCGTTAGTGTTTTTTGGAGTTTACCAATCAAACTGAAAAATATTTACTGCATACACAAAGTTTTAGAAGGAATGAAGTTTTATTTAATTCATGATAATAATTATATTATTGAAAAACTCAGTCAAGCTAACTATTCATTTGCTGTATATGCTGATGTCTTCATGAAACAATATGATTATGAGAATATTATATTTATCGGAGATGCAGCACATGGAATGAGTCCTCAATTAGGTCAAGGTGCTAATATGGCATTCTTAGACAGTTATTATTTGAACAAAGTTTTAATTGAGAATAGTAATAATATTACACTAGCTTTGAAAAACTATACTACATTACGAAGACAACACTTAAAGTTTTATAGTCAAGCAAGTCAATTTTTGACACCGTTGTATCAGAGTGATCAAATGTTATACGGAAGATTTCGAGATGTACTTTTTACCATTTCAAAGCAAATGAAATTCTCAAGAAAAATATCAAGTCAAATTTTATGTGGAAAAAGAACTAGTTGGATAAGAAATCAAGAAATTAAATATTAAAAGAATATATTTACAAAAAATATAATTTCATTCATACCAAGCATTTTTCTTGTGTAAATATGAAATATTATGTGACATTGTTGGTGTGACCATAAGAAAATTGATTTCTAGATAGTTTACCAGATCTATTTTGTGATTTTCAACAGCAATTGAAACAAGCACAGAGTAGATTATGCGGAACGACTCATTAAGTCGGCTGACTGCACAAAGTGCAGTCAAAGCCGACTTATTGCTTTTCACTCGCTTAGTTACCATGGCAAATTCTTCTTCTTCTTCTTCTCAACACATGAGTCACGATTCAAGTCAGCCACTTGTTCTCAGCTCCTGATTATTATTTTCAGTCGAAAAAAAGTTTGGCGAGATCCTGAGAATGTGACGAGTGCACATCTGAAATCCGTTTTTCGAAATTCGGCAGCGTTCAGGAGATATAAATCATGCCAAAAATGATAATTAACAGCTGTTATTTTCCTTATATGGTTATGCATGACTCAGTCTTAAAAGACCATTGATATCTGAGATCTTATGTGCATATGTACTTTAATTATCGTTTTGCATAGCTGAAATTCATCCACGAAGAAGTCTCAAGCATTAAAAAAAATCTCTTTATGGTTTATACAGATGAGACGATGAACGATAATGAACAGCTGAGAGCTTCCTTATATGGAAATCTACGATTCAGATTCATTATGATTTCCTCTACACAACTCTTGGATATAGAAATAGTAGATGTCGTATAGGACCAGATTTTGATATTTTTCGGGCTCTGCAGTCAGCCGACTTTTCTAGCCGGCCTTGGGCCGGGTAGAGGTCTAGTTGATTTGCATTACTTAGCATCAGTGAACTTCATGACAGTTTTTATTCCATAAAACTTCGAATTTAACTACAACAGACTTGTCTCTCGCGTTGGTTTTTCAGTATTAGATTCAATCTTGATAATTCTTGGATATGAAGACAACAGGATTTTTGCCGAATACCTACTGATCGTGACTTTATGATTTGACACATTCGATAGAGACCTTGTCACAATTGATCAGATGTCTTTCGGTTGGGAACGATTTTCAACGTAGGATCAACCTTTTAACTAAAAATGCTTCATCATACAGTACCAGACATGCTTGAATGGATGTTTCAGTTTGCAGCTCCTTAAAAATGTGAATTGTTAGCTTGTCGTTGAGTTCTATATGGCATAAACAGTGAGACTCGACACAAGTCATTCATCGTCAGAGACGTATTCACATTGAGTGAGAGATGAATTTTAGGGAAGACTGCTCACTAAACAATCAATGTAGAGGTTTCACATTTTAGCGCATTCACTCATAAAGCCTGAAAAAAGCAATAAGACTTCTGCATAGAATTGAACAACACAGTGCTGCAGACATGCCTGAATAAAGAAGAAAAGAGTTTCTTGGCACGATGCAAGAGTATTCGGTTATATTAATAATCAGAACGAGACATCAGCGAGTTACGAATGATTCGAAAACCTGTTTAACAAAACTACGTACCACGAAATTCCGTTTCAAGAATAGGTTTCTTCGATGTAGTCAACAAATAATAAGATGAATAGATTGCAAATTTTAGGTACAAAGACAATATAGTATCTCTACTTATGCTTCCTAGCACTTGTCAGACCATTTGAGACCGTATTACACAAACAACGCGCTGTTAACTCAATAACGAAGAACACCTATGGCACATTTTCAGTAAGAACAGACAATTTCAATATTCATGTCATCAAAGGCGCTGTTTTATTGTTACATAGTCATTAAAACAATGACTAGACACACAAATTTACATCTTGGGACTTCTGCTTCATCAGGAATTATGTTTAAATTGAATACATTAGTACATTCTTCTTACGTACACAATAAAGTTGATTGAGGAAGTTATAAAGATACACTGATAAATAATTGTGGGCTAGCAGATTTCATAGCGCAACGTGCTACTGGCACAAATGGGAAACTTTTCTTTTCTCAATGTACATAGAAACCATTAGACGTTCACCGTCGATGGAAATTTATTCCAAGGGAAGAAATGACATAGGCAATGTGTGTAAGTTTCATACATGGAATCAGAAAGCCTACTCAAAAAATATGTATTTACTATGCTCAAGATCTCTGTCTATTGATTACTATCTGTTTCCTAGACAACTTGATTATTGTTCGAATCAATATGTCTAATGGCAATAACAACTGAATATCTACGAATTTTGTGTTTAGTACCATGTGAAAGGTAAAAGTATGTCGATATAGCGACTACTTGAATGTCATCGAAGCTTGATTGATGGCTTAGGAGGGAACCCAACTAGCTGATTAAAAACTTTCGGGTTCATATCCTGGTCATGAGTAGGGCTTGGTGGGACTAGAGAAATCTCAAAAGAATTTACTTTTATGGGCCTATTCGATTGAGATAGGAATGTTCCAAGTTTAGAACCAGAAGCGTAGATAAATTATTTCTAGTACATGATTCTTCCCTTTATACGCGTCCTGATATAGTTGTGATTTCGAATGAAACTCAAAAGCTACATTAGTCAATAACATTGAAACATTAAGCACGAATGAGAAGGAAGGCAAACGAAACAGCAGATAGAAATAATAGAGAAAAGTATGTGATAGCTTATGAAGTATATGCTTCAAACAATTTTAGTATATCAAAGTAATAATACTTTATGCTTCTTTTCTATAGAAGTTATCACAACAGATTAACGCAGCAACTTAATTTTTTCAACAACTCGACATTTTACGTATGAATATTTCAAAAATAAATGTTTCCTTTGAAATTCTACAATGTTGTAATTGAAACACGAGAAGCAGTTTATCTACATGTCTGATCCTAAAATTGGAACGTTGGTATCTTGACCAAATAGGTCCATGAAAATAAATCCTTTTGAGGTTCTCCTAGTTCCACTAAGACCTACTTATGACCAGAATATGAGCACAAAAGCTTGACGGTGTGGGTTTATCTTGTCTAGCTCACATTCGAACTCACCCGCACACGCTCATGTGCGAATGAAATAGCCATTCATTTCATCAGTTCAACATGATTTATTTGAAGGAATCAAAAAACAACAAACCATCGTAATGAGTCTGTTCGATAGAAAAACGTTGAATACGATGATTGTAACAGTCGGCGATATAGATATTACCATGTCGGTCGAAGGATAAACCTCTGAGACCATTGAACTGATTAGCTTGTTCCCCTTGACCATTTCCACCAACAATGACAGTACCTTCTTTTGCTCCTTTAGGCCAACGCATCACTCGATTATTCCCCGAATCTGCCACATAAACAGTACCCAACGTATCGAGAAACAGTCCTTGAGGACCTGACAATTGTGTCAGAGCATTTCCTTGACCGTGACCCCCGGCAACAACAATGCCTTCTTTTGCACCTTTTTTCCATTCCATCACACGATGATTTCTCCAATCTGATACATAGACAGTCTGTTGTCGATCAACAAACACACATCTTGGCTCGTTGAGTTGATTTAAATCAGTACCTTTTCCATGACCACCAGCCACAAGAGTTCCATTCTTGTCTCCTATTTGATATCTTCTTACTTCATGTTTCACGATATCAGAGATATAGATATATCTGTAATCATCCATAGTTAATTCTCGGCAACCGATATTGTCGAAAAGGATTTCTCCTTGAGCTGTGCCACTGCGACAAGACCATCGTATGACTCGTTGATTCCACGGATCACAAATAATGAAACTATCCAGCTCTTTGTCGATGAGCACATCAGGTGGTTCCTCCAATTGATCTAATCGATTTCCTCGACCATGACTACCAGCCACTACCTGTCCATTCGTATCACCCCTCTTCCATTTGATGATACGGTGATTGTCCGTGTCAGCAATGACCATCGTTTGTTCATCATCAATAAATAGGCCATGAGGTGAAAATAATTGATTGGTAGCATTGCCTTGCCCGTGACCTCCAGCAATGGTCACCCCATTCTGTGCCCATCTTGCGTTGACTGGGATATCGAGAATTACTACAATAGACGAAAAAGAAAAGGAATCGGTGTTATCGTTGTCGAAGATATCCCCTCTCTCATGGGAAAAGTGCTACAAATGCGACATTCATCTTCGAAGAGAATTTGGTAAAGCTTTTCGAGACGCCTTTTCTTAATTTCCCATAGAAAGAAAGGACTTTGTAACAATTCTTACGTCTATATCACTTCTAATTCTCGCTAAGTTCTTGTAGATCCTCAAAAGTGGAACTCTCGAGGTGGATAAAAAACAGCACTTGAGATTTGCTGTAGGAGATTTTTTGAGAAAGAGTAATACTAATTCGATGCAAGCTTTCGATAGGAAAACATTCGATTCTGAGAATTTTATTCGTATTTGCGAATGTATAGTCTTTTGGGGGATTATTGGAGGAGCGTACTAGGAAACTTTAATCCTTGAAGAATTTATATAAATATTGGACGTGAATTTCAGCAATAGAATTTTTCTTCGACAACAAACTTCAAAGTTAATCTGTATGTTTTTGAAGGACTGTACAGATTTAGTATGCATCTTTTAGGATGCTTTTCACACCGTTGAAGAAAATTTCTGAGCATTGGGACAGAGTATGCAGATGACATTTCGTGCGGTTTTTTTTCAATTTGTTTCAACATCTTTGGAGGAGAATCTTGATAAGATCTTAGCATGGTTGTAAGAAAGCTTGTATGCATGCAAAACTGATGCTAATTCTATCGGAACCTTCATAAAAAAAACATGGGGACTTGTGGATTTCGTAATTTATTTAGAAAGAGTGCATCTGAATAGTATAGTCAGAAAGAGCTCTACAGAGCTATGATTAATTTTTTTCTGAAAATCAGCTTCAAATAATTCAATTAGGATGCTAGCGGATGTCATACACGTTTTGCAGCATTTTGCCTTTTTTATATATCTCAATTTAGAGAAAAGATACAATTTTGAATTCGTCTGTGAAATAGAGATGAAAAAAATAGAAGTGAAAAATAAACACGAGAAAAAAAAGTACATTTTATCATGTAAATAAATACTTGTACTATTAAAATAGTCGAAATACTGAATTATTTTGAAGAGATAAGAACTTATGACAGATTAAAGTATACTCTCATTTGAGATTGAACAAAAACATATTCATAAAAATGGATTCTTTTCTAATTTCAATATATTCATCATAAAATTTATATTTTCATTTGCTTCTTCGCTCGAGAAATTTTATCGTATACATATTGTAAAAATTTTCTTACGACTCATTGTGAAGAAAACGTTAGCAAATAATCTTAATGATCGTACAACTATGAAAAGTAATAAAGGAAAATTTATATCGATAACTACTATACATCACAAGTACATTAGAATCAAATTTAAGCTTTGAGAAAAATAATGTATAACCGACTTAAACAAAATAATAGAAATAGACATCAACTGGTACATATTAAGAAAAAAATAATTGCAGCTCTTTAAGAATATTCAATTTATTTTATGGCTGTTAAAATTGAGTTCTCATTATGCTATAAAACTCAAAGTGGTCTTCAAATAATAGCTGTGACGTCCCACGATAACGATCATCTGAGATGCTAGAAATAGCGAGCACAGTATAAAACACAGCTTGTAGGATGATACGAATAGGATCAAGCATGCTACAGGGAGCATCTGAGTTGAGGGAAGCATCACATGGAATTCTAGAAAAGCCTTCGGAGATGATGAAGAAGTCATCTGAGATACTAGCCATAGTAGAAGAAAAGTCACAGGCTCGACATGGTGATCAGTAGCGGTACTCTCTAGAGCATTATACGATCGCCATGGAATACTAGTTGTTGTAGCCGGATTTTACTATGATTACTGCCTAGGACATGGAAAGAAGCCGGTATGATGCTAATGGTGCAAAGGTGGCTCTTAGTAGTAAGTTTCGGTATGGTTGTGAATGCAGCTACTCACACTCTTGTATACTAGACATGAGAGAGAGAGAAATTCATGGCAAAAGCTTTCCATCATTCTTAGAGTCGGGATGATTTTTAAGCAAAAAGAAATCGTAAAAATATTTTCAGATATCTAGATTTTTGTTTAACACTGTTTATGGGTTCCAGTTCTTAATGGATTATATTGCTTGATGGAGAACGATCATATTTCGTTAGTGTGAGCTGCTTGAATTCAAATTTAGATAAGTTCTTCTAAAAAACTAATGTAAACTTTAGGAATAGGATTTTTCACTCTCTTTCTTTCACCCGAGGTTAACCGTCAATCGAAAAAGCCAACGTTGCATAACACGCAAAAATCGACGGTAAAAATGATTCTACCATTCGGAAGCCTATCTAACAAGTATATATCAAATATCTGAAGTTGCACACATAAAAAGAATATACATATGTGACTATATTGAATTGAGATAATTCTTTTTTTTGGAAACGTACGTTATTAAAAAAATGAAATGAAGGTTTTAGTTATTTTTCTGTTTGCCTTCTCATTATTTCTAATGTTAAAAATAGCTTGTGTCCTAGTTGCTTGTTTCTACATGATTAAGATGAAAAGTGCTTAAAGAACAACAAAGACAACAAATAATAAAAAAGAATATTAGATAAAACTATGTGAATATTTTTTTTTAATTAATATTGTGCTTGTTTAATAGTGATACCAACGCAGTACAATAGATTTTCAATAATAATTTCGATGTTAGATTTAAAAGAGTACATCTTTTATATCTGGTCAAATTGATATATATCTGATTGAAAAATAAAAAAACCGCGAGTTCCGAAATGTATGAGCGTTCGATCGCTTCAGATGTATTTACAGTTTCGATGAAAATACTATCAATCTAAAGACTAAATTGTAGTCACTTAGCTTTTGTGTAGTTCTTACCTTTCTGCAATGGTCCATATCTTTCTTCAATCATCACATGCCAACGTAGTTGATCATAGAAGTCGAGTTGAATCAAATACCCATCATTATGCAACGACTGCAGCTGTGCAACATCATTGTCGGCCACTTGACTATTATTAAACTCTAAATGAGTCAAGGTATGGCGTTCTTTCGAAGCGTGAAGAAATGCTTCGATGAGTTCACGTGAAATAACTGATGCAGATATAAAGAGACGTGAAATAAAGTCATCATTTCTTAATGATTTTATCAAATGAGTTTCTGTTTCATTCGACGGTCGTATATCTTGAATATGCAGGCTCAAATATTTGATTGCATTGTGACCACTCAATATGTCTAGAAGATTAGCAACGAAAGTTTCGTCTTCGAAACCAATCTGATCCATTAAATCGATTTCAACAAATGTTCTATTTTTCTTCAGCATCTCGCAGAAATGAGATAATGCTGAGGGTTCGCTTAGTGAATGAGTCATTTTTAGTTGTTGCCATGCATTTTTTTTCAAAATAAATATAGCATTGAGGAGATCGATGTTGTTACAATAGTCCACAATCAGTCCTGTCATAATTTCGTTCGATTCAAGACATTGTCGAAGATCATTCTCATGTCCGAGGAATTCCAACGCAGAAAATTCAAATTTTCGACGTGTCTTGTTTTGTCGTAAAAGTCGAATGAGCATCTGTATATTGTCATTTTGATAAGTGTCATGAAAACGAACTTTCAATGATTGATTCGTAAACTCGATGACCATATTTTTGCAGGTATACTTTACCATTCCAAAGTAATTCAAAGCATGGACCATGCTCATGTTTAGACAACGAGTCGAAGAGCAATTAATAACAATGTCGAGCAGTGTGTCAAGATAACTCTCATAGAACGAACAGTCTTGCAATATTAGCTTTACTACATTAAAACCTTTTGTGAGTGAATTACACAGCATCGTAACGTTTTCTTTAGTCATATTCACTTGACTTAGAACTGCTTCCTTGTTCCTTTCATTAAACTTACCCCCCATGCCCACAAAGTCACTAATATATTTACGCATTTTATTATTGATAATCATGTCATCGTAGTGTTTGAGACACACCCAGAGAACATGACCGTCGACGGTGATTGTTCGGTATAAGTTTCCAAGGCTACTTTTACTGTCGACAAGTTCTAGATATGTTTCAAGTTCACGTAGTTCTTCAATCGGAAGTGGCATGAGTACTGAGTTCTCTATGTCAGTCATTGAAGAACTTGAAAGACTTCGTGTATTGTCAAACTTATTGATTAACTCTTCAACCAATATCAATTGCTGTTGTATGCTTTCGTAATACTGAGTAGTGTGGGATTCCGATGATGACGTATCGATGATAGCTGTTGACATATTTTCCGGCTGTGGAAGATCAAAATGTCCAACTGAGAGTAGAATTCGAACGATATTAAGAGTTGTTCTTAAATACGATCCATATTGCACGATGAAGTCTTTCGGGTTCTTAATTGAATAACCCCCATGAGGAGCGACATGCATTTCAGTTGGTTTATGTGAACATTCACATAGAAAATAGAGTTTATAACGAATGCGAAACAAGTTCTGTTCGCTGTTGATCAACAACGTGTTGCAATTTCTTACCGGTAAAATGAAAAAATACCGAGGCGTAGTAACTTCATGCAACTCATACATGAGCTTCATCACTGCCGTAACCTGTGATGGTATCTCTTGTGTAATTACGTGGAGAGAGCTAGTTTGTTGTACAATCGAATCTAGGCAAACACAAATATTATCATAGCGATCTTTTATAGACTCTAAAACTTCAGAAATTTCGCCAAAGCATGCAATCATGCGGAGACGTTCCATGTTTTTGGCATGCTCTTGGAAAACAAATACTTGCTGCGCATTGTCCATACATAAGATAATATGGATGTAGATGTATGTCATCCTTTCATTCATCCACATCAACATCCTGATTGCACGATATATGACTTTCATCGGTGTACTCAATAGATGTGAGAAACAGCAGTGATTTTATTCATTTAATCTTCATCATTACTTACTGTAATCAACTTCAATATGATAATCAACAAGAACTTACCTTTAGTTACGGGAGCACTGGTTATATCATCACGCTTCTACAAATATGAGATATTTGATAAATATTCTTGTTCTACAATTATATTCTCATCTAACCTTTTCAACGGTGGGAATGCTTCTAGTGCTTGCGGTACGAGCATCGAATATTCCAGTTGCTTTGTTCTATCAGCACGCGAAGATATGTATGAAAACAAAAAATACTAAGAAATTATTCGAATTACCTCAATTTCGATGAAATTTATATCCTTTTTTTCTTTAGTCAAGTGATCAGCAATCGTCGTCAATATGCCTGCAACAAAGAAAAATCTTTTACTTCTTACAAGATCTTGAGTGCCACTTTCGATAAAATTCAATATCTTTTTACTATTTGATGATTAATTCGAAGCAAAGACGAGTGTCATCACTGATAACATAAGGTTCAAATCATTTCTTCATTCACGTTCCAACTCACACCCACATCAAAATTCAGTACGGCCTAATAACTTATCTTCTTAGAATCGTCCTATCGCAGTCAATAAAAGTACTGATTAATTTCCCTTAAATTCCTGTTTTATATTGCAGAAAGATGGAATTTTCCTGATTGAAGCAGTACAATCAAGCATACTTGTCAAACTTGCTGACGTATATGGGAGTTTTCATCATTAGCACTCAGATGCATAGCAAAATTAATTATGCAGTCAGAATTCATCTGAAAAACTTCATCAGATCAAAAAGACATCTTATTAGAGTAATAACGGTGCGATTGCCAGCAGTGTACTTCCTAGACTTTTTTAGTGAACTACTAATGGTACATTTTGGGATGCGCAGTGATGGTATATATATTGAGATTGTGACAATGAGTCACAGACATACATTTTATCAGAGTACTGACATTCTCATTTGTCACAACATTGCGACATTAGTCAAATCAAAACGTGCCTTTCTTATAGAAGTAACTTGGCATGTTTCAATCACCATTAATGCCCTTGTATAGATGCGTCAATGTAATCAGTGTCCACTAATTATACTAATCCGACAACATTGGTGGATGTAGGAATGAGCATGAGCGTGAATCTACCATTCATCTTCATCCACACCTACATCCTCAAGATGCGGGGCATTGCAAAATCCTTGTTTAAAATAAGGTCTTTTATTGTCATATAAGTAAACATCTCTATAGAAGCAGCGCCATTTTCAGGGCCATTTTAGCCATTGAACTTGTGATTTCTTCTCCCGCTAAAAAAGTAAGACTAAAAAAAAGGACTCTGAAGTACTTTAGGTTCGAACATGCTTTTTCATAAAAAAAAATCAAATCTATAGAATACGGATACGACGTTCGGAAAAGTTCCGAGTTGATGAACTGTTCGCACAGTTCAGCTCAGCTCAGAGAACTGAACAGGTCGGACTCTGTTGGGTAGCCAAAAATCCTCAGGAGTTATCCTATAGGGGTACCCATAAGTCCCCATGGGCTATCCTATAGGGGTACCCACAAGTCGTCATGGGCTATCCTGGGAGTACTCACAAGTCGCCATGGGCTATTCGATAGGGTACTCATAAGTCGTCATTGACTATCCTAGGGGGTGCCAATTAGAGGTCGACAAGCTCAGTTTTACATTCTCGATAACCCTAGGATTGGCCCTAACATGACTAGTGGTTATCCGAACAATAAGAAAGAAAAGGCTTCCTGAAATCTGATTGGTCCATTTTTTCGACCAATGGGATTGGGAGTTTCTATTTCTCAGTGATAGAAGTGATCGAGACCCATACATATACCCCTCATTCGGTAGAGCATCCTCGATAACCCTAGGCTCGGCCCGAACATTATTAGTGGTTGTCCGAACAATAAAAAAGAAATGGCGCCTTGAAATCTTATTGGTGGAAAATTGGGTGAAGAAGATCTTAGGAAGAGTTTTCCGTTTATGTTTTCGTGAGAATCAGAAGTGATGTTACGACGGATGTTACAGTTTGCCAGGACGCTCTATCGTATGTGATGTGTTCGTTTAGGGACCCAGCATTATGTCACGGAAAAATAAAGTGCGGAGGCGGACTAGTCTATTTCCTCACGAGGTAGGTTCCGAAAGATGTGTGTTTTCTTTTTATACTGCGAGTGATTGTTGAGGACTGAAGGGTACTCCTGAATACAATGCTTGAGGACGAAAGTGACCCCCCAATAATAGCACTTGAGGACGCATGGCTACCCCCCAATGGTAGGACTGGATGATCTAAGGGTATCCCTATAGTATAACTTGAGGACAGATGGATACCCCTTAACAAGCAGGACTCTAGGACTTGAGGGTGCCCCTATAGTAGTACTTGAGGTCCTCACGGCGCCCCCTTTTAGTAGGACTTCAGGGCCCAATGGTACCCCTGAATAGTAGGAGTTGAGGACCTAAGGGTACCGCCTATAGTACTACATGAGGACGAAAGGATACCGTCAATAGTGGAGCTCGAGGACCCAAGGATATCTTCTGTAGTAGAGCCAGAGGACCCAAGGAAACTCCCTATACTAGAGTTTGGGGATCCAACAGGGCCTCCATAGGATAGTCGTTGAGAACCGCGAGATACTTCTATCGGATAGTCCTTGAGGACCTGTGGATACTCGTATAGGATAGCCCTTCAGGACATGTGGATGCTCCTATAGGATAGCCCTTGGGGATCTATGAGTACCGTTGTAGAATAGTAGCTAGTTTAATTTTAAGTTCAGTTCATTTGAGAAGAGCTGTTTGGATAGCTCGGTTCGTTCGAAAGAACTGTTCGAACGCTTCAGTTAATTTGGAACGAACTGTTGGAAACAGCTCAGTTCGTTCAAAAGAACTATTCGCGTAGTTCTTTAGCTCATTTGAACAGAGTTCGTGAACTGAGCTGGTCAACCCCTAGTATAGAATGAACCTGGACAGAGAAATCTGGTTTCCCAAATGAACTATTTTTGATTCTTGTTTGGCCAATATCGACCTTAAACCTTATGATACCCGGCTGAAAATTTTACCATAGTTTTTCTAGTACAGTCCCAACATATTCTGACACTTTTATGCCTTTGGAACGTTCCTTGGCTGAGATCGATTTTTTGAGAGGGAATCCCTTATATAGCTTTGAAAGCTTTAAATAGCTATGAAGATTTATCAAATAGCTGAGTGTTTATGTAAGAAGTATCTCTGCTGCGAGGCTATGATTTCAAACAAAACTACTGAGAGTTTTTATTGAAATAAATGGTGATTTATCATAAGTTGTGCTAAAGTGAAATATTCAAGTTATCATTATAAATAACATTTACTTCGGAATAAACGCATGCAATATTGAATGGAAAGAGACGAAACAAAGGATTCGCTCACGACGCATACGTCCAAACGATTTACCTTGAATAGAATTGTTATATTTTCTATTAAGTGCAAAAATCGGTAAAACTAAATATTTCTATTCAGTTCTCGATGCTTAATCAGCATCGATTATTGCTATGTGGCATAGAAAAATAAGGATTTAAAGATAGTAGAAGTTTCGTCGTACAAAAAGTGAGTTTCGGACACTTATGTAATTCTGTCCATAGTTTGAATAGATATACTTGGTCAGTCGCTGCATTTCTCATTCCGATATCTTTGTCTAGTGGATTATTTAGGTAGTATCGTACATTCAAGAAACAGCTATATGACCTGATTCGGCTTTCTCGTAAATATGAAAAAATGAAGGTGAAATTCTTAAGCAATAAAAACAATCTGTGTCCAAACCTTCTGTCACAGACTTAAGAGAGCATCATGGTTTCAAAGAGAGACATTCATTTCGATGAGGATGTTATAGAAACAGTATCAAGCTAGACACTATCACTCACTCAAGAATTCTAGTTTCTTTGTTTCATAGATTCAGCGAAAAGTCACCTTGACAAATATACATATTAGAATGAACGATGGAGCAGAACTCTTCGTTATTGTTTTTCTTCTAGTAGAAGATATACGTTCTATTGCTCTTTCACCTTTACTGTTTTCACATAGGGAATTTGACAATATCTACTTTATTCAAACATTATCAAAGAGTTCAGCGAGTTGTCTTAGTTTTTCAACGTTTAGTGCTGATTCATTCTACTTCTTTAAAATGAAGTAACTAAAACAACATTACTTTGATTTGTCGAGCATTTTTCGATCACTTCAATCAGTTCAGAGCAAGTCGGTCGGTCATTAGCATTGTCTGCCAAACATTTATTGATTAGCTCAGAAAAGTTCGATGGTGTGTTCTTGGGTATCTTCAAACGGCTGCCACCAAGCACGAAGTTAGAAATGACGGCACTTTGGTGACCATCATAAGGTATTTCATTTGAAGCTAGTTCCCAGAAAACGATTCCTAAGCTGTAAACATCGCTTTATCCGTGTGCTTTTCTAAACGGAGTATTTCAGGAGCTGTCCATTGTAATGTACAAGGTAATGAATGAGTCAATACGCTGCGTCGTGTTGTTTCACTTCGTGCTTGTGCTAAACCAAAATCACACACTTTCACAAGATATCCTTCATAGGATCTCTCTAACAAAAAATTTAATGACTTGATATCACGATGTAAAACGGGTGGTTCTAGTTGATGTAGATAATTGATGCCTTTGGTCATTTGCAAAGCAATGGAGAATCGATCAGACCAATCTAATGGTATTTTATCCTTGTGCAGAACCTTGTACAATGATCCTAGTGACATATATTCCATCACTAGTGCATACTTTCCATTTTCCATACATGCGCCGAAGAAAGTGACAATTTCTCACAATCCAAATGATGTTCCTAAAAAAATGCGACAATTAGATGTCTTCATTTTTAAGTAACTTCGCAACTCTTAAAAAGAAGATCATTTGTGACAAAATATTATTCTTTTGGTCATAGGTTTAGCCTTGAGATTCAAACAAAAACTTCAATACTGAAAGATATTTGAAAAGCAGTTGGACGTATAATGCACGTTGATTTTTATCGTACATTAGAGTGAAGGAACCGATCAATATCTGCTAAGCAGATCATTCTAAATGATTATAACAGGAAGAATTGACTTTGAAAGCTATTCTTCCCTTGAGAGTGTGTGTATATACCTGTCAGAGGCTTATTCAATAAAATCAAAACATCCAGACCTACATTCACTCAAATTTGATATTAGATAATGATGATTTAATTTATACTAATATCATAAGAACAACGAAACACAATTAAATGCTAACCTTTAAATGAAGCTCTACAAAATCATTTATGTCAACTTAGACAATTCCGATAAAAAAATTTTTAATCTGAACATTCAAAAACATATATAAAAGTGTACAGCAAAGATAAGTGCACCTTTTTTTACCTGCATACCATAGCACGTTAGTATGGAAGCAGATAAAAAAGTTAAATTTAGGAAGTTTGTTTTAGTTATTAGAATCTAGAACACAGCTTTATATTTCATCATAAAGAGCATTTTAGGAAATGGTGGATTTCAAACAAAAGTATCTTAGTAACAAATTTGGTTGTTCACTACAATGATATGCTTACATTTAACATAAATAAAATAGTATTGATATGTATAGGAAAATAGAGAAATAGACAGATGTCGATATGACATAAGAGTTTAAGTTCAATATGGTATAGATCACACTGAAATCAAACTCTTATGTCATATATTTATTTAATCATAAATTTCATGTAAAGTATGATAGCATAGTAAATAAAGCGAGAAAGACTTTTATTCGGAGGTATAAATAACTTCAAGGAAGAAAATTAATCCTTTTTATGTCAAAGTTATTTCAGTTAGTTGCTTATGTTGAGGATTGGCTCGTATAAATAGAATTGGTTCAAGATGAAATGTACCACCAGCTTAGTTATTAGTTTCTAGCTAATTTGAATGAATATGATTGTCTATGAAGAAACACTTTACAGAAAAAAAGCGATTGAATACATGTTGAGAGTGATTTTAGAATCTTTTGTGTCTGCTTCGAAAAGCATCTTAGCACCTTCATGCAAAAAGAGTTACGTCCTCAGACATAGGAGAGGTATTTCATAAGACACATCTCATTGCATGTCCTCAAAGATATATTTTTTCCAATTATAAATGAGATCGTGCCTGATAAGAACTTGTCAAACTTTCTAGAAGAAAGTGTACAGACGAAGCGAAGTAGTAACTAATGGACAGTGAGTTTTTACCGAAGATGTTCTTATTTTAGAAAGATTTCTTCATGTGTGACATGTTTGGATGCGTATCACGTTAATTAGATCTTGTGATCGTTGGAATGAATATTTTCGAAAATAAAATCTAACAAGTTTCTTCACAGCACGCTGCAAAGAAGCATTAAAGTGGTCTCAGAACACGTTTTTTTTATACAGAAAACATTTTTTTTTATTAACTACTCTTTCCTATTAGCTTTTTCTCATGAACTGTTCAACTAAGAGCTGCTGTTGAGAGGATGGAAGCAAAATATTGTCCATACTAAAAAACTTAAATATTAACATATACATAAATGCTAAAAAAATTAAAAAGCTTTAGAAATTATTACAAAACTAAATCTTCAAAGGGGAGGAGGTCTTCTAAACCGTATTTTGCTGCGTTTGTCCAAGGACGATCTTCTAATGTGTCGAGGGCTATATCGTCTATTGAACTTGATACCAGAAAGCCTGCAGAAGTTTTTCTGTGGGTGAAAGGCGGTCAATTTTATTGACGTCTCTTTTTATTAGCTAAATAAAATACAATATTTGTCTCCATTTTATAATTATTTGATAATATAAAAGAAATATAACGAAAAATGATCATCTCTAATTGTGAATCAATTGAAAAATAAGTGAAGATTCATTAATCAAGTAGAAAAACTATTTGATATACAACATAAGAGACTAATTCGTTCAAACTTGTCTTTATTGTGAAGACATTTTCTTAGTTTAGCAAAGAAAACTCTCTCTCTCTCTCTCTCTCTCTCTACTGAAGTCTAGTTACAGACATTAATTAGATAATCAACACGATCAGAAAACAAAAGGATCACTAATAAACAAATTGGGTTTTTATTTTGTTAAAGAAACCAATGTAATTAAAAAAATTTCAAACATAATAGTATATATATTTTTATACCAAAACAAAAAAAATAAAAACATATACGATTATAATTTCAAATAAGTAAAGATTCAACTAATTTCGTTTGCGTCTGTTTTTGTTGTTACGCGTTTTATTCGCCACCGATAAGCAAGTAATGATTGACCAACAATCAAACGTAAACTATATGTCAAACCTACATATAAACCAATGAAATGTCAATAAAATTTATTTGTTTCCTTACCTCCGTACAATCCTAAAAGATTTGCTAACATAAATAATGGATTATTTTTATCGGATACTGTATATTGACATTCTAATGGTCTACATGCTTCAAAATACTTTGTATAATTACTATGATTTGTCCATATTTCTACAAATAATTGATCATTTAATTTTCCTAATGAAAAATTTTCAAATTTTGATAAACGAAGACCATAATATGGAAAACAACCAGTAACAATATCACCTATTAATTGTTCACTACAATTTGATGATATTGCACAACTACAATTTGATAATGAAAAAAGTCGTGGAAATGTTTTTAATATATATGTTTCATTTTCATTAGTAAGATCAACTTGCCAATTACTTTCAAAAAGATTTAATAATTGATTAACACTAAATGAATGAACTATAAATGAAAGTGTACGACGATAATAAGCTGAAATATGAGAAATAAATGTTGTAAGTAATATATTTATTTGAATATCAAATGAAGAACGAGTTAATGTTTCTACACTAATTAGTTCACGAGTATCAAAGACTTCTTTAGCATTTTCAATTAAACGATGAGATGAATAACAAAGTGAAGATAATATACGATAATGAGTACTTAGTGCTAATGACATGCTATCATTTTTTTTCAATAAATTAATTCTATATGATGGAGAAATATATTCACTTGAACATATTGAATGATATGCTGGTTTTATTGATAAAAATTTCCAATAAGGAACAGCTACTTCTGAACAAGGACATGAAAGGCGTGAAATATTTTTCTTATCAAGATTGTCGACAATATCCATTGTTGGAAATGTAATTTTAATAGATTTTGTTTCTTCACTGAATGGACCAGAATAAATAAGAGCAGTAATTAAACATAATATAAAGAGAAATATATAAATACGAGTAGCAGTAATTTCTTGATTTTGAAAACGTTTCTCTATCGAAGGTGGTTCACTTACAAATAAATTCAATGATAACAATCTTTGAGACATTTTACGAAAGCCATGATGAGTTTCTTTTGATGAAGAATATGGAGTATTTATTGTTGTGTCTAGAATAGAACAAATAGTTATTAAATCTTTGCCAATCTTGTTTATAAAAATAACTGTTACACAGTGCTACTACAAATAGGCAACATTGAGTTGTAGGTTCACACTTTTGTGAAACTAGACCCGGCCTTAAACACAATAGAAATGAAACGTCTGAATTCGTACTCATGGTCAAGCTCGACAGATAGATTCAAACATTCGTCGAGTCTGTACAAGCTCAAGTTTTTCTTTAAAAAAGAAAATTTTAATTACTGAAAAAGTTTTTTCATCTGAATTTATAGCCAAGATGACAAACTTTTCAATAAGGAAATTTTATTTTTCGATAGTTAGTTTCTGTAAAATGTTATTATGAGAGCTTTGCGACATATTTTTTGGCTTTTTATACTGACTAAAATTAATTCCTTGATAATAAACCATGTGTCAATTATAAATGATATTACTACTGGTTCCATTCTCATAGTATTCGAGCAAGTGTTTAGAATACAATCAGAATCTTTTTCAGAATACTTTTGTACGAAAACTGATTGAATTTGTCTGCCAACTATCTTCTCTTTTATTTATTATCCGAAACAAATGAGATGTATCGATAGAGAATATAGAAAAAGTTCTATATAATTATTCAATGAATTGGACCTATTTGTACTGAACGGAATAAAACAATAATAATTATCTTACCGATTGTGAGATTGGTAGGATTATCTAATCGTATCTTTTTTTTTCGTTTTGACCATTGTTGTAAATAACTCTTAACAAGTGGTGGTAGAATAATTTCTAAAATAGTACTTAATCCTCCATAAAATCCGAGCATGATAGCTAACATATATGAAATATTAAAACGTTTTCGTATAGTATAAGTGCATTTTGAAGGTGCACATCGTGTATAATATGATGTAAAATTACTTGAATTAATCCAATCTTCTACAAATAATTGTGAAAAAATCTCGTTTATTGTTGTATTTGAATAAAAACGACTATTTTCATTTCGAAGTGGTTGTATTTGAATAGCCCGACTATTTAATGGTCGAACTAAACCAACAATATCAAAATCATAATTAGCAATAAGAAGTTTAACACATTCTTGCTCATAGAAACATTCTAATGTAGATAAAAGAAGAGAATCAATTGCATAACAACCAAGAACTAAACCAGGCACGGTTATATTAGGTTTAGAACGAATATTATCTGTTTGAAAATAAAAACCAACAGGACGAGTACATTGATTAGATACAGCACATGAACATGAATTTGTATAAAAATCTCTTGAACGAAAATTTAATGACCATTTTGATGTTTCATTATTATATACTGTGAAGGGTCCAACATTTGTCCACGTTTCGTCCATTAATTGATTTGTTTGAATTGATGAACGAATTAATTCAATTACACCAAGAAAAGAAGCTATTGTTTGTTGTTCAAATTGTTTTAATCGTCTCATCGTTTCATAAGTAAATTGTGAACGTGATAATGAGTTCATTGTAACTAATCGATTTGATCGAAATACTCTTAATGCATTTTCAACTGTTTCACGTGATATTTCACATAACACACGTAATAAATCAAAAAATGATTGACCACTTAGTCGAAAATCAGTTGATACTATTCGAATACTCTCAACATCAATTTCTATGCGACCAAAATAAGATAACCAATAATCTTCAAGATAGTCGCTTGAACATATTGAATGATAACGAGGAGAAAGAGACATTATTCGACCATATGACATTGACAAACTTGAACATGGACAACTTAATTTTGATGATTGTATCGAATATAATTCTTCAAATTTTGAAAGTGAAGGCGATTTTTCAGTATGTGTCTGACTACGTGTTGATAAAAATGTATAAAAACCAAGAACTGTAAGACCGATAAGTGTTAAGACAATGTAAAGACGAGTGGCGATGATACCAATACGTTCTTCCTCGGGATCATTTTTTTTATTCGGCGGAAATAAGTTAAAATTACGAATAGTTCGATGAACATTAGATGTTATAACTAAAAGAAAAACCACTTTTCAATGACCTTTTTTTTTTTACAAACTCGACAACGAAAAAAATAATTAATAAGACTCGGTATTTAAATACATCATTTTAATCAAGTCAATATATTTGAATGTTCACGTTGTTCAGCATATAGTTTTATACTACTGTGCTCGAAGTTCGAATCCTGGCATCAACAATCATAAAATGATCTTAGACAAATTATGAAAAGCTGTTTGCCTCGGATTACTCACTCGATAGCATGTTAATTACATAAAAACATACATTGACACTTATGACTAGTATGTGATTCGCTAGTGTGTATAGAGACTTCGAGCAATTGAGCGAAAGAACTCTGAGTCACGCTGATCTTCTACATAGAGCTATAACTAATAATAGTCGTAGACATAATATCAAGCTAACGAAAACGCATGCAAACAGCACTCTCTATTATAAGGTAATCGTAAAGCAAAGTGCTCTTCTTTTCTTTTTTTTTCAGTTTGATCAAGGCTAGTCAAAAGACGATGCCAACTTTTACGAAGATATCTTGAAGTTTCTTTTTTAAGAATTGTCTCCGAAATTTAAATATTGATATGGAATTTCATAAATGAACACTATGATTTGAAGAAACAACAGTTGTAAATTATGCACAACTTCAAGAAATATTAACTTTTGTTTTTAAGACTTAGCTCGTTTGAAAGTTCGATCTGCTGAGTTGATACGATCGATTTGAATAAGTATTCTAATTATTTTTTGTCAAACAATTGCGTTGAATGTCTGTGTATATTTAATGAAAAGTTAGACGTTATTAACCTTTATTTATTGGATTTGGTGTCATATTCAGAACTTCTAAATCTACACTGGATTGTTCTGGATCTGTAGTTGGTTGATTTGGTTGTTTTTTCCATTTTATTCGTTGACAAATTTTGACAATAGCTGGTGTGATTAATTGCCAAACAATAACAAGACCACCAAAGGCACTAAGACTCATAGTAATAGTTTTGCCAAGATGAAATCGTCTTTCATAACTATAAAAAATAGATCGAGGTGCACAAGCAGCAAAATAATTTTCAAAACTTGATTGATTTTGCCAATATTCAACAAATAAAGACTCATCAAATAGTGAGGCTATTGTTGAATTCAATGGAAATCGTGATAAAGATGCATTCAAAGCTTTTGGTCGAGAAATCTTTGGTTGAAGTGATATTGCATCGACACATGATTGATTATATAAACATTCAAGAGTTGATTGACGCATCGAATCAAGAGGTATACATCCAGCCATTAGTCCAGGAATCTAAATTCATATTATTTTTTTCAAAAGTAATTTTAAATTTTCATGAGACAAAGTCAACATTTTAAAATGTGTTTTATCAACTGTGATTATCTGTAATACAATATCTTTGTCATATACATCTTCTTTTACCTGTTACTTTCTAATACTTTGTAATTTTCTGAATGTGCTTTCTACTACGTATGATAAAATATTTTATGACATCATTACAGTTCGTACATAAAGATGAAGAAAACACAAAAACAATAATTGTATGCATGAAAGTACAGCCAGTTATTCTCTTCAATTAGCTTATTAATTAGTTGACTAGTAAAAACAAATTCTGACTTTAAGTATAATGCATTTTCAAATATGTGAGGATGACAATAGCCATTTTACTTTATTTTCAAATCTTTTCAGATAATTGCTTTTCGATACTCTAATAATTTACGATACAATAGAATAGATCGTATTACCTATGGTACCTGCGTATGAAGAAAAAAAAACTCAACGAAGAATATTTGAAAATATCTATGTTTTTTCTCAGCAACTTAACGATTGAAACCGAATTGGTAAACGTCGAATATACCAAAGGTGTATTATTTTAATACAAATATATATTCTTGAATAGATCTTAATATCAACTATCGATAGATGTGTGAAATACTTCAAAAAATAAAAGGCTCGCTGGCACTTCACATTAACAAAACTATTAAAATGTACGAAGATCATTACAAACTTAGTACAGACTTGAAAATTGAGATTTTAATATACAAATTTAAATACATTTTTCTCTTTTCTAACAATGTTTTTTTTTTTTAATATAAAAAAATTTGCTTACCTGAAATAGAGGTGGTGGATTGTTTTTAGCAGCTTCTCCTAATTCTGGTAAAGTCCAATTATAAAAAGCACCAGCCGGATATGTACATTGATTTCCTCTTAATCTACAGTCACAAGAAGATTTTTCTGTTCCATTTTGTTCCAAATAAACTGCATTATATGTGAAATATGTTTTTGAACCAGGTACAGATTGAATATAATAGTTTGTGCGTAAAGCTGATAACAATCGATTCTGTGCTGTAATCATTGATAATATTCTTACGGTTTGTTTTTCATTCGTTAAAATATTTCGTTGATGATTATCAGCAAGAACAGAAACCATTTCATTAAATTGAACTCGTGAAAAAGCATAACGATTAATGAAATGACTAGAATTAAAGGTACGATAAGTATCATTAATAGCTTGACGTGCCAAAAGACAAAGTAAACGGAGAGAACGATATTGAGAGAAAGCAAATGTACGAAAATCCAAAATATTATGAGATGTTGCATTAAAGAGATATAAAGAAGAAATCCATTTTTTTCGAATAAATGGACTTGAACATACTTGATGAAATTTTGGAGATAAATTCAAAAATTTATTATAAGGTATTGATACTTGTGTACATGGAACTTTAATTGTATTTGGATAACGTGCTTCAAGTCGTTCAAAATCAGATATAGAAAATTTATTTAAAGTTATCTCATATGTTCGAACAGTTAAACTTGCATAACCAATAACGATTAAAAGAGATATTGAAGTTAAAATAAGAAAGAGTCGAGTAATAAGTATTTGTTCCGTAAGAGTTAATGTTGATGACCAAATTGGATGATCAGAAAATAAATTTAATTCTCGAATAGCACGAATTAAACGTGAACGTGCAGCCAATACAATAGTTTTCGAAGATGGAGATATTTTGACTTCATTTGATGGATTACTCATTATTATTCTAATTCTATGAAAAAATCGATTATCTCAAAATAGTTAGTATATCTGAAATTGAGAACAATCAAATTATTTACATGATGTATTTATCTATTTCATAAAAATATCCACTTAAATCCTATGTATATATAGAAAGAGAGAGATTAACTAATTGAACATATAATAAACGGTGTTTGAATTGTTTGAAAATTATCAATGCCAAAACAAACAAGAAATTTTGAAAGAGTGTTTAAACATTCTAATCGCGGTTCTCATCTGAGCATTTTCACGTTCATTCAGAAAATGTCAAAACTACGTAGCTGTTTTCATCATACAAATGTAAAGGTAGTTAAAGAGGCGTTTTTTGCATATACAAAACTGATTTTTAAAATATCTTTAGACATATTTTATCATGAAAGTAGCTTGTCTTGGAGTTTTCTGGATGGACGTAAAAATGCTCAAATGAGGATCGCAATCAGGATATTTAAACACTATTTCAGGAGTTCTTCTCTGCTTGGGTGTTTATATTCAGTCAGTTTTGAAAATAAATTGTAGTTACTATTTCATTAAAACTATTCACATAAGTGATATATTGAAGGAATCTTCAAAACCAGTACCATTAAAATTCTAGAATAAACTCAATAAATTTTGTCTTTTGAATTTAGGATTATCTATAAAAAGCGTCCCATAAGAAATTACGTTTTTTTTCAATTAAATAATAGTTCATTCTAGCATCTCTCAACTAATACAAAATACGTAAAGCGAAAAAATTTCTTGAATAACAATGATAGCAGAGTCTATTTGAAGGTTTATGGACAGTATTTTAATTAGCAGATTGTATCTTGAAACACTAAAACAGTCACTGTTTAATGGGGATGTTATTAAAAAAAACAAAAAAATATTTAGGTACAAAAAAAGCATTCATTTGATGAAAATATTAATCAATGATTGATTACAAAGTGCATATCAATCGAAAAAGATTCGATATTAAACAAAACATAATTCATGAAAAAATGATTAATTCTCTAAATAAATTTGTATTGCTACAAATAATAACATGATTGAAAATGCAATTTCTATGTAAATTGTTTTAGTCTCTGTTGTTATCTAGATAACTGATCTCTCTTTTACATTAATTTTTGAGAAACCTTGACAAGATAGCAAAATAGAGTAATACATGTATGGATATTCAGATGTTTTTGAAATCAATCTATATTTGGTTTTTGCTGATTTTTTTTTCTTTTCCTGAACGTCCTTTATGAATAGGTCGTTTGTTCTTTGTTGAGTTTTTGTTAATTAAAACACGTAATCGAAGAATTATGCGAATCTTTAATGATGAATCATTGCATCATTTTCTATATTAGATTTACCTTTTGAAACAGATGGTTTATATCGATATAGATGAGTCCATTGTTTCTCTATAATACTAAGTCTAGAGTAATCTATATGTGTTGTTTTTATTAACTGTAGTACTCGTATAATGCTGATGATTTGTTTTTTGTTAGATCTATATATGTTGTCCGAATGCAAAATAATAAAATATCTTGGTAAAATCTTTTGCTGAATCGTACTTTCATTCAATTTATTTCTTGTAATCCTTACTTACCATTTGAAACAGTCAAAAATACATTCGACAAATTTTTATTGAAAATAATCGATCAGAAACGATAAGTGATATATTGACCATCTATGATGATGATTGAGATGCTTTCTCTATTTAAGGCCAAACACTAAAAAAAAAACATTTGCTCAAAACAATTGCAGGAAGGCTCAAATTTTTCTCCATTATCTTCTTTCCACTGACTATGATGTAAAGATTGTCTGACCTTTGAATAATTTCTCTTTTTTTTTGAAAAAAATCATAGGTGTCATAATCAGCTGAAAAGATGAAGGTGCTGTTCTTCAGGTTTTTGAACTATTATTTGGTCTTAGCAGCTAGCTGATCTCGTTTCTAATCGTGAGACAATAGGTAAATTTGCTTTTTTTTCAGATGTTTTGATTCTAAATTTTGAAAAACTAAGTTGTAAATTTTATTAAAAAGAAAACAAAAACAAACCATGAATCTTGAATGTCCAGTCCATTTTTATTGGTAAAACAAAGCAAAGAAGATCAATTATTGCGTGTCATCCATGAAATGTTGGTTAAGCGGACTTCTATACTTTTGATTAAAGTAGACAAGTATCATTTATTCAGTCTTAGAGAGATGAGAGACGATTTATAGTTATGATATTGGTCCTGATCCAGTAGTAAACTTTAGACATTTTCAAGACAAAAAAAAAGGAAAACAACTTTTCATTTTAAACTGTTAACTTATTGAGTAACATTGAATATTTTTGTTTTAATATATTAATGAAGATCGAAACGAATAAGAAAATTTTGATTCGATCCGATTCATATCGAAAAAAAACGACGATCACTTCGTCGTTGTCAGAAGTCAAAGGCATCTACATCCTGAATCAAACTTCACTTAGGTTTTCGTATGTCGGTATGCTAAGTCGATCGATTTAGCAATATTCGAAACTTTGAAAGCAAAAATGCATTACAAATTAAGACTCATATATCATAAAAACTGTTTTTTCAGATCAATCGCTATAGTTTGGAGTTTCTAAATTTACATAATTAACGTTGATATAAACTTCTCATATAAAGAGACCGATACAGTATGCAAAAGTGCAAGTTACAGAACTAAATTCGACTCGATTCGATTCGGTTTCGATCTCTTTTGTATTAATAGAGGTTCATTCAAATTTAATGTTCTAAATTTACATGACAAGTTCTGTACTAAAATATAGATTTTCAGATTAATTGTGAAATACCATAAAAAAAAAGAATCTAACAAATCTTGTTACACATCAATTATGATTTAAAATCATGAAGATATATGAATAATACTATGAACAAATGATTTCTTGTTTCGCATTTTTTATGAATTATTAAAAGACTATAGATAGTAATGCATTTCAAATGCTTATTCGAGTGTTTTTTTGTGTAGTAATCAACACTTCATGTTTATTAATAATCGGACATTTCTATTTCACAAAGTAATTTATATTTTTCATTTTCTATATATTACTGTACTCAATCTGTATTTCAATAGACTTTTACTGCATGAGTTGGAAATAAAGAGATATTCATCGTTCATGGAAAAAGTTAGATATTTATTTTGGTATTATTAAAAATAACATTTTATTTATTTTAAAGAGATCAATGAAAAGAATAAAGTGTTCAAGAATCATAAGAATTTATTATTAAAAAACACATAACAAATATGACATTGTAGAACAGAAATTAGTGATCATACAATTGTACATTTTATTGTCTTATGTAACGATGAATATTTTTCTAGCTTTGTTATTTATTCAAAAAAAAAGTGTAAAGATAATGTAATAACTGTAGTTCTCATATCTATTGTTTTTTCAAATATAGGTCTATGAGTATTTTACTTGAATCACTATACTACATAGAAGCTATATAGAAGTACTCAAGAAACATTCATTCATTGAATGAGTATCTTTTGACATTCTTATACTAAGCAAACAAAATTGTGCATCTATTTGATTGAATAATATGTAGTCTTGTTGATTTTAAAAAAAAAATTTTCTTACTTCTTGTCATAATTTCATCGGAATGATAGACCATATTCATATGTAGGATTGAATGTCTTGTAAAACTCATCAGTTTCAACAACATGTCATGTCATCTATTATTGAAGAAAAAAGACGTCCAGATGTCTTATGTTTTCTTTTCTGACAATCGTTGGCTGCTGACTACTTGCATTCTCGACTTAACATTAGCTAAGTTGCGAAATAAGTCAGTAGATCATATATGCAATTATGTCACTTTTTTTTCTTTCTATTTTTATGGTACTGTCTGCTGGTGCATTCAGATGATAACGTTCATCGTATTTTGAGATTGTGACCTCTGCTATCACCAGAAACTAGACATAATTATTTTTTTTCCTCTTAAAAAAATCTCATAAATAAATTTGGAAAACATGTTGCAGTGTCTCGTTGTTTTTAGAAGAAATATCATTTGGGATAGTCATTCTCTATGGCACATTAATAAATGATTATGCTAAAGGAAACTGATTATTTTTACGAATCGTATGAGAATTGTTATTTTTTATTACCTGAATAACTATGAGTGTCTATTTAAGACTTACTTGAATATATTGAAAACATGAGAATAATGATTGATGTTAATATATTATTCCTCTTTGATGCACAAGGCAATAACATCGACATTGAATAAGTTTCTTTTTTTCTGAATTTATAATAAAACACAATATATGTCAACCAATTTTTTTTTTCTTTCTTATAAAGAATAATAATAAATTGATGAGAAATTTCTGAGAGAGTTTTATCGCCTATAACAAAGAGAATGATGACAGTTGTGGAATGTTAAACATGTATTTAATTCATCTTGCACATCAGTTTTTATGAAGGAAGAGAAAAAAAAACGAATTTTCATCTATATAGATTATAATTTTCAGTATTGTTATTTTCTATTATTTTAACAGCATGTCGTCATTGAATAGTTAACAATGACGAATAAGTATATTATTATTCATGTGTTATTCAAAGAGAACATCATTGAGAATGCTTATGCTCATATATCAATTTTATAACTATATTTTTCTTTTTATAAAAAACATTTTATCAACTAGCCCGTGTTTTTCCTTAAAATATTTTTGTATATATATCTAGATAAGACATCAAAGAAATGATGTTTATGTAGAAGTATTTTGAAGATGTAAATGATAAATACATATTTTTTCATTTTGAATATTTAGTATTCATATAATTGAATTTCTATATTTTATATTAGACGACGCTGAATTGATCTCGGAGTACTTAATTAGTCCAAAAAAAATGATGAAACTGAGCTCGTCTTTTTCCGAGTTCAAATTAGGAGCAAATGATCTCGGAGAAAACTCATTAGTGTTGAATCAACGAAATTAGAGGAAAAGATCCCGATTGGATATGTTAAACAGAAAATGGAAGTATTTTGTCCTAGTT